CCCTTTTCCATAAAAGGATTCACAAATTCCTGGCTTCCCATCACCCTTCATGGTCCTTTGTTCATTTTGCCGAAGTAGGGTGGCCATTAGAATGGTTCACTAAAGCTCTTTCATTCCAGACATTGCCTAGGTGTCCTGATGTGAAAAAAAAATTGGTATTTTATTGTGGTTCTTTCAGTTTGCATTGCAAAGACAAGTATTTTTGAAAATTTGAAATAGAACTTGTAATGCTGTATTAAATTCCTAGTAATTATCTACTCATATCTGCCAGCTGTGATGTCACGTCCATCTTTGTCTTTTCCTGAGTGCCACTATCCTAGCTCAGATCAGCATTGCCACTTGCACGGCTGCAGGGAGAACTTCATTTCCCACTCTGCCTCTAGTCTTGTTCATTTCCACTTGTCAATCACATTGTAGTCAGAACTAATTCACTCATAGGTCTTTACTACTCTGATTTCCCATGCACTACAGGGTCAAATCCAAAAACCTTATTCCAGAATGCAAGGCCCTCTCTAATTGTCTTATATGAACCTGCCTTTCCAACCATACATCCAGTATTACCTCCCACCTCTCTAGACCTCTGCCTGTCCACCTCCAACTCATGCAAGGCAAGATTTCTTTCCGAGTATGACTTTTCTCCCTGCACGGTGTTTACTTTGATTGTATTTTATCTTCAAACACCAGAATTTATTCATTTTTAAGTGCCCGTTCATCATGTAGCCTTCCTTGTTTTTTCTGAGAGCAGCCTCTATTTCCTCTGTGTTTCATTATCAAACTACTTGTACCATTGCTAGATGAAGTATGATCATTGATGTTACACACCTTTATGTGCTTGCTGAGAGCTTACAATCTAACTAGGGGATGCGGTTGTGCCTTATTAATTTTCATATTATCTCATAGAATAATATGACAAGTTACTGAGTAATTGCTGTAAGAGGAGAACACCTTTGGAGCCTCTAATCAACTTGCCATGACTTTTAAAAAATCATCTCCTCCATCAACAGCACGATATGATGCTATCATTTCCAATAGTCATGTCATCAAAAGTAATCTTGCTCAGCTCACTTGCAGGCATCCAAAGATTTCAGAATTTAAAAATAAAACGTAATCACTCATCCTTAGTGGCAGGCCCGCTGCTTAATGTTATTACATAAAATCATTCAAGCATGGTCTTTTCCATTGTGTCATTATAGATCTTATAGACATTGAAAGAATAATAAAGGGAAGTGTGTGTGATAAACAACTTTGGAGAGCAAATTAAAATATTTCGATGAAAGGGATACATTTCTTGAAATATACAAATCCTCTAAACAGATGCAGGAGGAAATAGAAAATCTGAATAGCTCTATTCAGTTATTTGGAAAAAGTTAAAATTAGGTCCATGTTTCACCATCCACCACAAGAACAAATGAATAAAGGATCTAATGTAAAAACACGAAAGCATACAAGTGCTAGAAGGAATCACAGGTGAATTTCTGTTTACTCTGATGTAGGAAAAGGCTTTCTGGCTATGACTCAAAGCCCAGAGGTGATAAATTTGATTACATAAAAAAAAAATCTGCATGAAAAGAAATACCATAAATGTTCAAAAGAATGTCACCTATATTATGGATAAAGATTTAATATCGGTAATATATAAAGAACTGTTGAAAGAATAAATTTTAAAAATAAGGATTCTTTAAAAGATTGCTTATGCAGAATTATAAATATGTAAGAATAACAGTGAAATGACAAAAAAATAAACTAGAAATTTTATAGTAGTAATGAAGTAATGGCAATTGCTTTTTTCCTTTTTTCTACTTCTCTGTGTTTTTGAAATACCCTAAGTA